GGATACTTCCCTTTTTTTTTTTTTTTTTTTTTTTTTTTGGGGGAGGGTTTCCTCCCTTTTTTTTTTTTTTTTTTTTTTTTTTTTTTTTTCACCTTTATGTGTGCATACACCGTAGTTAGCTAGCCATATTGGTCAAGTTGTGCGGACAAAAAAAAAAAAAAAAAAAAAAAAAAAAAAAAAAAAAAAAAAATATGAACAGCAAGGTGGAATGCGTGGTAAACGTTTGGTCATACATACATATATGTACATGCACACGTACGTACACACATATATGCTCATGGGCACTTGGACGCTGTGGGCGCCATTTGCCTTGTGGGTGTCTTTCTCAAATAGACTTGAGGAGGAAATCCTTCGCGTAACTTTTGATGAAGAACTTTCTGTTGAAGCAAGGGCGGTAGCTCTTCCGTGCGTGGTTCTTATCCCACTCGCTGCGGGGGGGAAAGGGGCAAAGTGGGGGTGAACAACCGTTAGCGTTGTCGCGTTGTCCACGTTGTCCGCGTTGTTAGCGGTGGTTAGCACCGGATGGGGGGGAAAAGAAATATGAGCGCGCTAACATCTCTACGAAGACGCTTACAAATTGTCAAACTTGGTGGGATCGCTCTCCTTGATGTGCTTGAAGTTCAGGAAGAGTCTGCTTCCGCCATACATGGTCACCAGGGCACAAAGCACGATTTGCGCGACGAGCTGCAAAAGGGAGTAAAAAAAAAAAAAAAACAGTTAGGAAATGGAAGAACGTGCACACGTACCTTCGTACGTAGGTGTATAAGCAGACGCGCCCCATTCTGTGTTGCGCCCACGGAAGGAGCCACAACCAAAGGGGATGCCTTGCCTCTCCCTTGACTACTCACCATGTATGGTATGGTGAAGTGATCGATGTTGTCATTTTCCAATTTGAATGCGCTAAGAACTGCGGAGAGCAGGGGTGGGCAGGGAAAAGTGTATGTCGATTGAAAAGAGAGCAATTCTAAGTGTGAGGGTGTACATAACATAGTTTGTTATCGTTGCGCAAGACGACTTACGGAGGTACACGGAATGCCCACTCTTCACAAGGGACGCTAAGCCTATCAGCGTGATGGAAACGGAGAGTCCCCCAATCATTTTCTCTTCCTGCGTCCGGTCAAAAAATTGTTCTGGAACTGTAACACCACAGCACGTCGTGCACCCTTTATGCCCTTCGCAACACTGTTAATTTGGATACTTCCCTTTTTTTTTTTTTTTTTTTTTTTGCTATGGGAAGAGTGTTTCCCCTCGGTAATGATAATTCTTTCATTCGTCGAGCTACTACCTTTGCATTCATGCACTTGACACAAATGCGCTCGCTAAATGTCACTTCCCTCTGTTCGTTAAATTAAGTTACATTTCGTTGTATTTTCTTTCCCTTCCATTGGGGGGAAGTTTTCTCAAAATGGATATATGTCCCCCTGGAGATGCTCCTTGTGCAATGAACGTCGACACGGAGCCGCTGCGTAGTGTCACGCGAAAAAAGGGTGCCACAACAAGAGTTGCTTCCTTCAAATGAAGGAAAATAATAAAAAAAGGAAACCAGCTGCGGTGAAGCGTATTTACATATCGCTCGGCACTCCCACAAAAACAACCTTTGCAAGTTTTGCAATTTTATGAGAAAATGTAGCTATCCGTTTGGCGAAAAAAAAAAAAAAAAAACAGCCAAAAAAAAAGCAAAACTGGAAATCCTCTTTTTTTTTTTGGCTATTTTTTTTTTTTTTTGCGTCCATGTATTTGCTCCAAAAATGGGGGAAGCTTAATTGTACTGAGGGTGTGACAGAAGGATGTTTACACTAAGCGGGTTGTTCACGTTCCTGTAACAGGTTCCATTTTTTTTCTTTTCGCCCTTCTGTTTTTTATTCCCAACGGTCTGCATCTTTTACTCTTCGTGGTTAGCAGCCACGTGGCAAAAACAATTATGCGAGTTAGCAAGCAACACTGTTGGGTGTACTTTGAAGCACAATGAGGGAGAAAAGGAGCAAGACTGTGCTTTTTGTTACTTCGTTCTTTGTCCACGAAGAGGTAGGCGTGCGTTGGAACATGATGAGTGGGGTTATGCGATCCACAAGTGAATTACCCATATGGGTGTGTATACAACGTCGGACAGGGTCGATATTCTTCTCGACCTACTTCACCCGCTGCTGCAAAAATAATTTCTCTTTTTTTAATTTTAATATGTTTTGCTGGTTAGTTCCTCCCCTTTGCTACACGCACGGGTATGTACAACGGTGAACCAGTGCATGTGTACGTGGGGCATGTTGCACTGATGGGCGCCCTGGGGTGGGAAAACGGACACACAACATACAAGAGGGGAGTTTCCATAAGAAAAATAAAATAAAATAAAAATAAAGTGATAAAAAAATGTACAGAACGAATGAACGCCTGTCAGACGACACATTTTTTGCGTGACATGCATAGCACACACACACACAAACATAAAAAAAAGAAAAAGAAAAAGAAAAAAGGGGGCCTTGGACAGTCCCTGCCTGATGGCGAATGGGTATGTGCAAACTTCCAACCGGGGGGTAAACCTTAATGTGCATGTGGCCGCTCGAATATCATCCGCTCAGTTGTGTTTGCTTCATCAAAAGAGTAGCAGCCGAGTCACCAAGCCGAAACGCTACACTACACTTGGAATACGCCCCCCTGCTAGAAGGGCGTGCCGAACAGCCAATTCCTGTTATTGCTGTACTTCCGAATTCGACCCATTTTGTTAACCTGCGAATTCTGCAAGTTGATTCTGTTATGGGGGTAAAATATTTCTTCACTCTCCACTGTGTTCAGCTTGATCTCGTTCATTAGCACTTGGAAATTCTTTCGTACGTTAACAAAGAAGATGGCTGGTAGCTGCGGCAGGTCCAGCATCAACGTCAGGTTGGCGAAGCCCAGTCCTGGAGCTGACGTCATTTTGGCACACGGGGGGAAAACAATACAGAAAAAAAAAAACAAAAAAACCTCTTCCGCGGTGTACACCTTATCCGTTTGTATCTTCCAGCTGCTAAAACATATTCAGTGGTTCTCTTTCGTATGGCTTTGTGTTGGCAAGGGAGAGGGCATACTCGAGGGGGAGTTGCTTCTTTTTCGCCGCTTCTTCGTCAGGATTATTTAGTGAGAGCCCTTTGTGTTTTTTATGTATACATCGTCACTGGCGGGGAGGTACGCGCCTGAAAAATTGTGCATTCTGCGTTGCACTTTGCATAAATTATGTGAAGTGCCTTAGTGATGAAAATTTCGATCACGTAACTCCACGCACGCTTCCTGGGCTCGGTCCGTCCCCTGCCCCCTGTAACACCCCCACTTCAACAATTTTTTTTTTGTTCCCATGTGGTAACCACCAATGTGTGCATTGCGTATGCATTTAAAAAAAAAAAAAAAAAAAAAAAACATATCCTCCAAAAACTCGGCTAATCACATTTTACAAACGTATGATAAAAGCTGGGATGAGGAAAAAGCGCAGAGGAAAATCGCCGCCGCGTTTGAATTCATTTTGTCACCCCGACTGGCTACAGGCGATTTGCCGAGTTAACGGGAGAAGTGTAGCGGCGACAAAGCGGAGCGAAGTTTCTCATCATATGGTTGGCTTGCCTCACGGGACAGAGGTCCCCCCTGGCCCCTAAAAAAAAAAAAAAACAAAAAAAAGGACGAAGAACACGCCTTGGTGATGAGGTGAAAGTTTCCCAAGAGGGACGTAACACATGTCACTTGTCCGGGGAAGCACAATAGGTGTACAGATTATCTCACCTGGAGAGCTCCTCACATGTGTATATTAAAAAATAAAAAATATTAACAGCGAGGCACATTCACATCCCGAACGTGGAAAACAAAATGATGTACACCTGCACTGGTCACCTCGTTAGGAATCACTTGGCCAAATCGGTGAAGGCGTTTAAAGGGGAAGGCCCCTTTGCCCAGAAGAGCTCATGGAACGTATGGACGAAGAAGTATAGCAGCGGTGTGTACCCCCAGGTGGGGGCCAGTTATATTGGAAATGTACCCAACTGGACGGGCTTCACAAATAGTAGCATGTGTGAAGCCCACCGCGCACTCCTTGCACCACACCACAGAACCATAACCAGCTGCAGCGGGACTCGTTGGGGAAAGCAGACCAGCGACGAGAGCTTCTTCGAAGGGGAACACTTAAACAGAAAGTTAGGAGGCTATGGATACCCCATGATGTTCATCGTTACGTATGATCGACCCAGCTGGCAACCCTTTTGGGAAAACGAGTACGAGGTTATCCCGAGGGACGAATTTGGAGTCCCCGCCAGCATCCCCCCAGAGGTGTCCACACAAATTAAGCACACCTACTATGTGCCCCCCCAGTTCTATACCTTCCTCAAAAAATTAGGAGATGACACAGAAGAGCTGAAGCCATACATGCACAAACTTATTAAGGGTGAATTCACCTACGATGATTACCAGGAAATGTTTTACAAGTTTGCGAAGCCATTAAAAATTTTTAGGAACAAGATTCCCTTGCCGTATAGAACTGCAGAGGAAATGGCCAAGGAAGAGGAAATGAAATGGGAGTCCGCCTGGTATACCTACAGACAGAAAATGCTCGCGGAGTATAACGTGACCATGTGTTTGCGTGAGTTCATCTTGTACATGACGGTGGGTCTGTACTTTGCTTACTTGTGGCTGGACGCCCTGAGGCAGTACCGCTTGGACATGAAGCTCTTTTATTTGGAGGCCCCTGAGCACAAGATCAACTGGGTCAAGCCGCGCGGTGACTTGGTGTAAAGAACCAGACCGGGCGTACAGCGCGTGGGGTACACGTGTCTACGCATGCTCCACGCGTCCTCAACCTGTGCACCATTTTTTTTTTTTTTTTTTGCCGGCGAAGCTGCCCTTGTATCAGCAATGGCCACATACAAACGCTGATTTCATCAACATTTGGTTTTCAACCGATTTTTTTTTTTTTTTTTTTTTTTT